CCTATAATGACAGAATCGGAGGCGACAACCTCGATACGGGAAAGAAGGGCATAATATCTGGCCTGGCCTCCCCTTCTAGGGCGACCTCTACATCCCCGACCTCCACCTCTAGCTGGCTGAGCAGGTGGGGTAGCAACTAGAGCTGTAACCATAGCCTGAGAACTCTGCGGGGCACGCTGTGGCTAAGAAGTCTGTGGAGGTGCACTTCTCCCAAGTCTAGGTCAATCTCTCACCAAATGGCGTGTGTCACCACACTCAAAAAAATCTCTGGGAGGACATGTAGGTGTGACTGGTTCGGGCCAGGTCTACTGGACTGACCTCTGAAAGCACCCCGCACATGAGACGCACTAGATACTGGAGGTGCATAATAAGGCTCTTGGGGCATAGGAGGAGCTGGAATACCACTGGCTACTAGAAGAGCTGAATGAACGGGGCGACTCATATAACCCCTACCATGATGAACTGCAGCTGGAGCACGGGCACCAAAATAATGGCCTGACTCTCGAGATCTCTTGTCCTCCCTCTCCTATCTGTCCCGAGCATGCATACCCTCTATCCTCCTAGCAATGTTCACCACCTGCTAATAAGAAATATCCATCTCCAACTCACGAGCCATGCAAGGCCTGATTTTGGGAATAAGCCCCTCAATAAACCGGCGAACACTCTCGCGACCAGTAGAAACCAAGGCTGGGGCATGTCTAGCCAAGCTAGTGTAACAGACAACATACTCCGAGACAGTCATAGTACCCTGGTGCAAATGCTCAAACTCTGCGCGCCATGCATCCCTGAGGCTCTGAGGAACATATCTGAAAACTGAGTCCAAGTCAGGGAAGCTACCTCATCCGGACTGTCTAACTCATAGGTACGCCACCACTCATAGGCAGCTCCTCGAAGCTGGAAAGTAGTGAAGGAAACCCCGCTCGATCCTGATATACCCATGGTACGGAGGATATGGTAGCACTCATCTAGAAATCCCAGAGCATCATCTGATGCTAGACCATTGAATACATGAGACTTGTACTTCTTGAACCTCTCAAGCCTTAGCTGCTCATCCTCGGAAGCCGTTGCCGTGTCCTCGGGCCGATCTGGGACTATAGGCTGTACAGGAATAATATCTAGGACCTGATCAACATGCACTCGCTGCTCAGGAGTGCGGGCGATGGGAGTCTGTGCTCCTCCCTCGGCCTGAGATGTGGCTGCAACAAGGGGAAGCAACCCTGCCTGAGCCAGAGTAGTGTACATGCTCATGAACTGTGCAATAGTCTCCTGGAGAGCTAGAGTAGTAGTAGCAGTAGGCGTATCAGGTGCCTGGACTCCAGCTAGAACTGTTGGTAGCACCTCGGTGGCAGCTCGCGCGGGTGCTCTGGCTGCACCACGTGCGCGTCCTCGGCCTCTACCCCGGCCCCGGCCTCTAACGGCTCCAGTAGGGGGCATGAGTTCCTGATCATCTTTGGTAGCACATGTCCATACCATCTGTGAGAGAATAGAAGACAAAAGTTTAGAATTGTGATATCAAAAATCTCGCACAACATCATATAAATGGACTTTTCCTAATAGTTACATAGCCTCTCGTAGATAAGTACAGACATCTCCGTACCGATCCGCGAGACTCTAATAAACCGGCTTGTGATTCATGACTTCTATGAACCTAAAGATCTGATATCAATTTGTCACGACCCAAGTTCTCCCTCCGTGAATTGTCATGATGACACCTAGCCTCTATGACTAGGTAAGCCTAACAATTGTGGAAAAAGAAACAAAATGCGGAAAAATGGATAAAAACTGAAGATAAGTAATTATAGAAATGTTTAAGATGCCGCTCGACATATACTAACAAAAAATCTTAAAAACTAAACAACTTCCCAAACCCGGAATCTCATAAATCACAAGCTGTTGAATAACTACAAGTGTCTAACTCCAGAATGTCTAAACAAAAGTAAATACAGAAGGGCTAATACTATGAGAGAGAATGGAAAGGGACTCATCGGTCTGCGGTCGTGGAAGATATACCTCGAAGTCTCTAGAGAATCGCCTCGCCTCAAGGGTAGTAGGACTTAGTCAAAGTACCTAGATCTGCACATGAAAAACATGCGCAGAAAGGGCATGAGTACACCATAACGGTACTCAGTAAGTGCCAAGCCTAACCTCGGTCGAGTAGTGACGAGGAAGGTTAGGGCCCTACTGATTATTGCTGGAAAACGAGATAAAACAGTAAAGAATACGACAATATAATTAAATGCTAACAGTATGAAGTAACATAGGATAATAAGAATAACAACAACTATAACAGAGACAAAATAATCACAAAAGGAATACAACTCAACACAGAGATAACAACCGAGGATTTCTCAGTATTCCGAGGATCTCTTAGTATCCTCAATATATGTGCTGGGGATCTCTTAGTATTTCAAGAATCTCTTAGTATCCTCAATATACGTGCTGGGGATCTCTCGGTATCCTACACTACAGTCCAAATCAATATATGTGTAGGGGATTTCCCATAATACAAATCCGTAGTCCCAAAGTAAACAGGCAGGGGGATCTCCCGGGATACAGTCCCGTAGTCCCAAAGAAAATTCACAGCAGCAACACGAAGAATACTCATTTAAATTCAAATTTCATACCAAGGTAAAACAGGTATTTCTAACATAGCATGATGCACATAATCCAAATAAGGCAGTTTGAGCAAGTAAAGCAATTAAGTCCATTAGACATGCTTCCCTAAGCTAACAACAAGCTTAAATTGTAAGTAGTATAAATAGGAAAGGAAACACAATTAAAGTTACTTAATGAGAACATGATTTTCAACAATTAGCACAAGTATGCACTCGTCACCTCACGTACAAGGCATTTCAAATATCAACAATACCAAATCCTAAGTGGAGTTCCCCCATACAAGGTTAGTCAAGCCACTTACCTTGAACCAGCTCAAAATCAACCCTAAACCACTCTCTTGCCACGAGTACTCAACTCCAAATGACCTAAATCTATTCAAATCAATTGCATGATGTAAATATAACTTCAAGTAACTGATTCCACTAATTAATTCTAAGTTAATACGTGAAATTAAGAAAAATGACCAAAATGCCCCCGGGTCCATGCCTTGGAATCGGGTAAAAGTTACGGATTATGAACCCACATTCACTTGCGAGTCTAACCATACTAAAATTTTCCATATCCGATATCAAATCCCTAATCAAAACTCGAAATTTAGGTCTAAGAACTTTTCCAAAATTTTCTCCAATTTCTCACCCCAAATCCGAAATTAGATGATGAATTCATGTTTAGATTAATGGGTTATAAGCAAAAAGGAGTTGAGAATCATTACCCGATCGAAATCTCTGAAAATCCCTCAAAATCTCGCTCAAATCCGAGCTCCCAAGTTCTAGTTTTGATAAAAATGACTAATCCTCGACATTGAAATTTTATATTCTGCCTAGATAAATCCTTCTTCGCGAACGCAGATGGACCCTTGCATTCGCGAAACACAACTTTGCTTGGTCCAGTTTCCTTCATTGCGAACGATATGTCCCTGTCGCGAACACGGTGATCATCCTCCCCCTCCTACGCGAACACGAGACCATCTTCGCGAACGCATAGGTATAAGACCTCACAGCCTCGCGAACGCAGGAGCACCTTCGCGAACGCGAAGGTTTAAACTTCCACCAGCCCTAACTCCTCTTCGCGAACACGAGACCCCACTCGTGAACGTGAAGAAGAAAACCAGAACTGGAGACCTGCTGCAATTTTCTGCAATTCTCTAAGTCCAAAAATGACCCGTTGAGCATCCAAAATACACCTGAGGCCCTCGGGACCTCAACCAAACATGCCAACCAATCCTAAAACATCATTCAAACTTGTTCCAACCTTCGGAACGCTCAAAACAACATTAAAACACCAAATTAACATCGAATTCAATCCTAAGAACTCCAAAAACTCTCAAATTACACTTTCGATCAAAAAGTCTATCAAACCTCGTCCGAATGACCTGAAATTTTTGCAAGCACGTCACATTCAACACTACGAAGCTAATTCAACTTCCAAAATTCCATTCCGACCCCGATATCAAAATTCCACTATCGAACCGAAAACTTAAAAAATTCAACTTTCGACATTTCAAGCCTAAATAAACTACGGACCTCCAAAACACAATCCGAACACATCCCTAAATCCGAAATCACTAAACGGATCTAACGGTATCGACAGAATCCCATTTCGAGCCCGTCTTCACACTGCTCCAACTACGGTCCAAATTCTAAAGCTTAAGCTCTCTTTTAGGAACTAAGTGTCCCAAAACACTCCGAAACTCAAAACAAAACATCCCGACAAATCAAAATAGCAGAAACAAAGATGGGGAAAGTAGTTAATAAGGGATTGGGGCATTAATTCTTAAAACGACCGGCCGGATCGTTACGACTATTTATTTGCTTTGACATAAAAATGTAGAAAGAAAAGATCAAAAAATTATGCAAGGGCAGAACATGACATACATGATCATTTTCTGTACAAATGTCATAACTAGTAAGCAGGGGCGAATCTAGGGAAGCGCAAGGGTATTCATCCGAACCCCCTTCGTCGGAAAATTACACTGTTTATATAGGGTAATTTTTAATATTTTCGTATAGATATAATATGTTGAACCCACTTGACACAAGGCAAAAGCTTGGCTTAGTGGTTAAGGGGGTTCAGATTTTGTAGCAGCTCGCACGTTCAATTTCAGTCAGTCACAATCTAATTCTTTTCACTTCAGGCCCTTTTTTTTAATTTTAAACGACGTCGTTTCTCGTCTTCTCTTTTAAGTCCATTTCCCCTAAAAACGTGACTGCTTCTCTTTTTCTAATATAGGGATTTTGGGTTAAAAGATCCCTAAATCTCTCTCTCTCTCTCTTCGTTGGTGCCACCCACTCTTTGTTTCTTCGATCTTTCTACCTCACCAGTCGCGTCTCAATTCTCTCCATTGCCTCGCCAGTCGCCGCCCTGTCGCCGGCGTTTCATCTATCATGGCATTGGCATCCCAGGTAAATTACTTGTTCTTTCTAACTTTTTCAGAATTTTATTAATGTTTTATTGTTGATTCTTAAATTTAGGTTAATGAATCTTGTTCTGTCACTGACCTCTCTGTCTTTTTAACATATTCAAACAAGATAAAAGAAGATTAAAGAAAGAGTTTATGGTGAATTTTTTTTTGGTTTTAGTGTATGGTAAACTTAAAATGTAAATAACCTTTCTCTATTTCTAGATTCAGTATTGGATTGAAACATAGCTTAGAAATCCGTATGGCAACCAACAGATAAGTTATAAGTTATTACTTATGATTTATAACACTTTCCTTCTGCAATTTTGTTTTTACAGTAATGCACACTTGTTGTTTGATAAGATGGTTAGGTAATTTTGTTCTAACTACATTCCTTCTTTGTAATTCAGTCTCAAAATTCAGTGAAGAGGTATTTTACCAAAGCACTAAAACCAAATTTGGCTTCTCATACTCAACCTATCCAGTTGGAGAATATCAACCATTTAGAAGTACCATCTTCTAATGAATTTGATTTGGATTCTTTAAAGTTTGATCCGAGGGAAAGAACTCAAATCTTGGACTTCCATCCAAATCATCGTGATGTTATTAGGAGAGAATACCTTCGACAATGTCCTTGTCAACCTCGACTTCATAACTTTCCTAAAACAAATTTTTCTGGATCAATGCGTCGATTTAATCCTAAATGGTTTGATGATGAATATCATGATTGGTTGGAGTACAGTGTAAGTAAAGATGCATCCTATTGTTTGTTTTGTTATCTATTTAAAGATAATAATATTCATCAAGGTGGAGGTGATGTATTTCCAAGTATAGGGTTTAAGAGTTGGCATAAAAAGAAAAGTTTTGATAAACATGGATCGAGTAGCATTCACAATGAGTCAAAAAAGAAATGCCAAGATTTGCGGCAACAACGGTCTATTCAATCTTCATTTGAGAGGCAATCTAATCAACTTAAGCATGAGTATTGGATTCGCTTAACTGCTTCAGTTAATGTAGTAAGGCTTCTTATAACTCAAGGATTAGCATTTCGAGGTCATGATGAATCTAAGTCTTAACTTAGTAGGGGTAATTTTCTTCAAACTCTCTCATGGTATGCAAAAGTATGTGATAACATTCGTGATTATGTACTGGAACATGCTCCTCAAAATGATCAAATGACTTCTCCAATAATTCAGAAAGACATTGTAACTGCATGTAAGATAGAAACAACTAAAGCTATAATTGAGGAACTAAATGGTGATTACTTTGCCTTGCTAGTTGATGAATCTTTTGATACGTTCCGCAAAGAGCAAATGGCGATTGTCTTACGGTATGTTGATAGAATAGGATTTGTGATGGAGCGACTTATTGATATAGTTCATGTTCAAAATACTTGTGCTTCATCTTTGAAGCGTGCAATTGCTAATTTACTTGATCAACACTCCTTAAGTCTATCATATGTGCGTGGACAATGTTATGATGGGGCAAGCAATATGCAAGGTGAGATTAATGGTCTTAAAATGTTGATTAAGAGAGAAAGTAGATCGGCTCATTCCATTCATTGTTTTGCTCATCAACTCTAACTTACCCTTGTTGCGGTTTCTAAGAAATGTCTTCAAGCGGGGGAACTTGTAATATTGGTTTCCAATATTTTGAATATATTAGGATCTTCGTTTAAGCGTATGGATGAATTTCGAGAATCTCAAAAAGAAAGAATTCAAGAGGCATTAGATATGGGTGAGCTTACAACTGGTTGGGGTTTGAATCAAGAATTTGGTCTTTCAAGAGCATGTGATACTCGTTGGGGATCTCAGTCTAAATCTTTTAATAATTTTATTCTGATGTTTGGCTCTATTCTCGATGTTCTTGAATTGCTTGT